TAGCCCCACCTTAGCCCCACCATGAAAAGTAATGCAAATTCAATTAAATAATAAGCAAAATGCTAAATGTTGAGAACACGGATTGCGAAAATATACGGGTCGTGTCCACAGCACACAAACTGATCCTGCTGTAACAACAAGTGCACGTTACTGATGCAATATGGTTGAGACCATTCGGGCTTATGCTAGAAGAGGGGTGCAAGGAATAGTCTAAGTAGTGGGGGAGTTTTATACACTAAAGGTGTGGAAATTCTCTGGCGTTATAATATCAGCGCGGCCGCGGTCAGATCAAAATGCCTCCGAATGCAATTTGAATAGACCTACAGCCAATCAGAGCAACGCAACGTTGGATCTGCGTCATGCCTTATTGATTGAGATCAATCGAAACCGCCATTCAGTATCCCCATTGGATCTTCAACGTGTACTATCATACGTCACGTTCACAGTGATCCCTTTTTATTTACTTCAAGACAAATGTGCCGTTTTATTTCATACAGTTCCATTTTGATTGAGACAGGGAAATAATCTAAACCTCACGCGTGGCGTTTCACTGTCAAGGGGGGCGATATAGCGTGTATGTAATTACATTGCAAATACTGATTTGCGCACCACCACTGTATGGGTTAGCCCTACCATAGATTACCCAACAAAAATGCTCTGGCGCCGCCACTGGTTGAGTGAGATTGGGAGAGAACAAGGAGCTAAATTATTGTTCGCAACCAAGCGGCAAACTCTGGGGAAGAGCCGGGACGCCAATACGGAAGTGCCACAAACTGCAGTTCATATATTGGCCGATAGGCGATGACTGCAGAAAGGAGCAATTTCCATAGACCCCAATGTTAAAATGCCCATTTTCACAGCAGAAAAAAAACGTTTCTAGCCCTGGCTCCATACATTTTATTATGTATATAGTTAGATTCCACCTTCGTGATTATGAATCTGTGAGTGAATTGTTTTCTAACGCGACCCTTTTATTTATATTAGGTCTTAAAGTTTTTGCATAAATTAGGGCGTGGTCACATTGAGTGACAGCTCTGTCAGGTGACTGCTGCTGTTAGCTTTTTGTCTCTCTGCTAGCTGCTCCGTCCGTGAAGCTACAGGGACACTGCCTGCCCAGTTCATCCAGGGAACACAACTTGATTGTGGCCGTGTTTGTTTGTTCTTCATGCTTATATATCGGACTATTGTGACTCGCTCTGCGGTTAAAACAGACGGTGCATGAATGCCGTTTTGCGGTAAGTGAAATTCGAGTACTTTATTTATGTGTTTATGATACGTAATGAATGTTAAGGCTTGGGTTTGCGTGTAAGCGAGTGGTAGCTATGCTCAAGTATGTAGACAAGCTAACGTCGAAGTAGTGTATGTGAAATCAACCTCACAATAAGATGTGTGTATATTACAATTATTAATGTCATATTTTCAAGATGATTACTTAGATATTACAATATGGTTGGTTGAGCTGGAGTTCATTATTGAGTTTACACGTTAACGTCACAGTCATCTGAAGAACGAACCCAAACGTTGTTGTTTTTATTAATTGCATTACCAAATTGGTATCAAATAAACAGTAACACAACAGCATTGGTAACACAACTTCCAAAGTTACAGTAAAATAAAAAGAACCCTGACTCGGACAATACACAATCCAACATGTTCAACAGAAGAGAATAAGTTATATTGTTTGTACACATGGTTCTTTACATATATATCTGTTTGTTTAAAGTTTCCAGGTGATGCAGACAGGATGGACCAGAGAGTGAGAGACAGAACTGGACTCCTCACAGCAGTGAACTTCAGCACAGGTACAAATACTCTTTTTTCATACTGTACAAAGAATCAAGAAAGATATTGGTTTAAATAAATGAAGTATTGACTTTAATACACTGATATACATTCCATTAAACAATACTAAATACTAGATCACCTACACATCAGTGAAGTTGAGGGTTTTTTCCATGCAAAGGGTTACATTTAAATGTTAACAAGCAAGTCAGCTTTCTAATTTAAGGTATTGAAGGCAAAGCTATTAGTGAGAACTGCTATTTATCTCTCAATATTGTCTGTAAAAAACGTGGTAAAAGTTATGATTTCAGTGAGAGAACAGAGCAAGCTTCTACAGTTGCACTAAGTTTTGATAACAGTTCAATATTATTTTGATAATAAAATATATTTCAATGTTGATGAATTTCATACTGTTCATTCATAATCTGATTGTCTTTGTAGCTCACTGTTGAAATAAAATAAAACATTACAATTACAAAATAATTATATCTACAGCCCCTAAACACACAAACACACCTCTTTCATAAATAACACACTTGTTCTGCAATAATATGTTTTATGTTTCCTGTAATTTTTGTTAGGAAAGGACATGCCTGAAAGACACGACTCAACATGTTCTCCTTCTCTGAGGGTCAAGAAGAACATCCAAGAGGAAAATTAAAAGCTGATGTTATGAGATTTTAAGACCAGTACAGGACATTCACTAAGAAACTACTTTTATTGTGAAGTCAGCTGATCGAATGCACCTATTTCCACATCTACACTCCATCAGCTGATTAATTCTATTTGCCTCACTTTATGAGCTTCACAACATATACCTTGTACCGCAGAGTTTGCAACGCAAATAAATGGGGCCAATCTTCAGTCAGATGTGAATGTGTAATCTAACATTTTCAGTAAGAATAATGGACAAAAGGAGTGCAAATACAAATTCAATTTATTGAAATCTGAACCAAAAGTTAATCAAACATGTTTTAAATAAAAAAGCACATATGGACAGAAGGTGTAAACCTATTAAATGTATAAGTAAACACATTTAGTCAAATAAAGTGACAGACTAGGCCTGATCAGGTGGTATCAGCTATGCATGGGCTCCTCCATCAGGTCTGATCCTCCTCACAGAGGAAAGCCCCTCAGTCCTCTCCAAACCAACAGACTGGACGTCCATCACACGGAGGTTTCTCCCTGAAGTCTCTGCAGCTCTCTGGACACCACGCTGTCTCAATCCGTCCACACTGAATATGAGAGGGGAAAATGAAAATAATAAATGCTTTAGACAATAAGAAATATAAAGTTGACTGTTGAGTTGCTCAGTTTTTTTAGATTGTCAATACTATTACTGTATAACTAATATCCCAGGTTAAGAGGCACCTTCAAATAAAGATTGGTCTTTAAATACATTTTGTCTTTTGTATTGTTTGTCTAAAGTCAAGGATCTAGAACTGGTACTTATAGTTTTAATGATACAGTCTGGTTATAATGCGGTTTGGAGGAGGCCTCACAGGTAAGAGCACTAACTAGCTACCATCACATGCACCTTAGCTTAACTTAAATGTATTAAACGTATAATTAAGTGATAGCAAAATATAAATAACTAATGTCATACAAACATATTAATATTTGCTTGATTCCAGTGTTGCATTTAGCACATTGCATACTGGGATTTCATTGTTAAGGGATTTTAAGATTCTGAAGTATTATGCTAAAAACTCAATAACTTAGATTATTATTTATAGTTTTGCTGAATAGTTTCATGTCCGCTTACCTTAGAAACGTAAAATGTGACGGCAGTGTGCTGATGGGGAAGCATGTTAGCTTAGCTTCTTAGCTTGAGCTAGCTCTGTTACTTCCCAGCTGGAGGCAGCAGGTCCCGCCTCGGCTCCGCCTCTTTGCCCTTATTTGGAGCAGGCTGGAGCAGGCGGGAGTTAGACTCAGACGTCACTGTCGAGCCGTTAGTGGCCGACTCCGCCTACTAAGGGCTTCTCGGCAACTCTGCAGAATCCTATGGGTGACGTCACGGACCCTACGTCCATTTATATATACAGTCTATGTTCGCAACACGTTCTTTCAAGAGATTCGTAGTGTGAAAATCAAAGCGACAAAACCACTGAAGCCACCATTTTCAATTGCTCCCTCAAATTTGGGGTCTTTTACGATCTCACCTCCTTATAGCCGATTTCGTTTACAATGTAGACTCAAATTATTACAACCTTTGAATTAACCAAAGACTGTATAAGGAATAAACACAGAATAGTACTTGCCTGGGTATTTGTCGCCATCTAGTGGTTGAATTAGATCATTGCAAAAACACAAGTGATTGCTTCACCTTCACACGACTCTTAACAAAAGTTCCTTACAAACTTGTGAGATTCTTCATAAAACTGCATGCTTTTGGAATGTTGTGGAAAAACATCTGGAGAAAAACGAAGCCAACATTGGAACAGCATCTCTGTTAGCACATACATCATACAAAATAACACATAATCAATAAGGGATTTCAAGGGACCTGTGGGTTGTGTAACAACATCAGATTAGTGCTGGGCGGTATACTGTTTCATACAGAATACAGTGAACTTTATACTGTATGAAATTATTTTTTCATATACCGCAATACCGTTGAAAAAGTGGCAAAGGGCACTCAAGCGGTGCGGCAATGAAAGGAGTCCCCATTCAATCATAAATTATAAAATAAGTATTTAAATGTGCATTCTGCAGTTTCAGGGAAGGGGGAATTGTTTACATTTTCAAACAGTGCTTTTGTTGTTAGTTGTTATGTTACTTTGTGGTACGCAAAGTTTGCACAATTAAATGGTTTACATTTTGCAGTTGTTTCATGCATTCTGATTCCTTCAACACATAAGACTTATGAAGGCCACCACTGATCGGGTGTTTTTTTGTGGGGCCAAAACAGATAAATGTAAATACATTTCCAATCATTGCAAAAATAAATAAATACCGTGATACCATTATAATTTGGAAAAAAAACGTGATATGAATTTTTTTTGTCATACTGCCCAGCCCTGCAACAAATTATAAAATAGATTGAAAGGTGGTGTGAAAAACAAGCATGCCACTGCAGACTTATGTACATGTCCACTTCATAAAGTAACTCACTAATCAGTAACACCGTTAAGTCAAAGTCCTTCAGTTACTCTTTATAACCCACATGTACTTCATCTAGGGCTAAAGGTCTTATCTTGTTAACATGCACATTTAGAGCAGAGCATTTACTTGGTGTCAGTGTGATGATGGAGCGAGTTCTGTTATTGTTCGGACTGGTGGCTCTGGCCACTTCATTCACTGTAAGTATTTATTATAGTAAGCCTAATGTGATCAACTATTAACTTCACTTACACTGGTTTTGATCTTTTATCCAGATACCTGCTGTTTCCCCTGAGGTTCATGGTAGGTCAAAACATGATCATACTGAAAAGAAATACCAGTTGTTGAAAGGTGATGAATAGAATTTGAGGTGTGTTTGTGTTACAGAGGTGTATGAGAATGGCGAGGATGAGAACCCCATCCTGAATAAAGGTGAGCCGCAACACTTTAATTGATCATTTCTCCTGCTCATGTATGTACTCGACTAATGTGTAAAATGATGAGCAAAACTGCATATTTTTTTTGGGTTATTTAAATAAAATGTGTTGTTTGTCTCCCACTGTAGGATCAGACGCCAACCTGTTCGAAGGGGACATTTTCATTCCAGTAAGTTGTATTTTGTTTTTATTTTATGTTATTTGTGAAACATGCTTAATCATTGCTAATAACTCCTTGAGTGTTTTATTGGCAGCTTTCTTCTGTATTACCACATGTTGACTGTTGATCCTTTTCTTGATTTACTACAGTGATATATTTATGTCAGATAACTAGATATGCTTTATTGTGTGTTTTTATTAACCTTGATAAGGTTTATGGACATATGTCAACATAATAATTTATAAAAACCCTTTCATGATACAGGAGGGAAGGAAAGCCTTGATTGAAAAGCGATACAGATGGAAATTTCCAATTCCTTACATCCTGGGTGATGATTTAGGTGAGTTTAGTTTACATTTTGAGTGCACTTTCAACACTGTATTAACTTGACTTTCATATTTGTGTCCTCTTATAATTGTTTCTTACACTTATCAGATCTGAACGCCAAGGGCTGCGTCCACCAGGCGTTTGAGATGTACAGGCTGAAGTCCTGTATCGACTTCAAGCCTTATGAGGGAGAGAAGACATACATCAAGTTTGAAAAGAGAGGAGGGTACGGCTACGTTTCAAAATAAACTGTTGATCGCTGCTGCAGAATAGATACCAGTGTATAGAATTAAACACTTAAAGTGCACCTATCATGCTATTTTTAGGCAATAGCATAGGTCTCAGATATATAGAAATATATAGAAAACATGTCTATGAAGTGTTTTACTCAAAATACCAAACAGATCACCCATTCTAGCCATGCCTCATATCCCTCTATTTCACTTCCTGTTTCAAAAGTGCTGATTTTGGGTATAAAGCTTTAAAAAATAAAGAAATTGATAAAAAAAAAAGGAGGGGTCTGAGCTCATGCGGGACCCGGCAGCTACTGTCTAAACTAAATACTGCCATGATGAAACGCCATATCATGGATTATCAAGGATTATTTCTGAAACAGTAGGAGCTCTTTCTCTCTTGCCGGTTATACCACAAGGTGAGTTCCTTTTTATTTCCTGCTTCTTCACACACATGCTCTCCAGTACAGGTTAGCTCTGAGTGTTTATGATATTACGTCATATTGGACGCAAATCTGGATCAGCTCTGTTGTACCCCCGTTTTTAGAGATTTGGGTACGGAGGAAAAGAGAGAGGGTTTTATTTTTCTGACGCTGCGTGAGTTCCCTGACACACCGGGGACACATATTTATGTATAAAAGACATCAAAAAGTGCATTTTGCATGATAGGTCCCCTTTAAATAGGTTTTGTGTGAAATGTTTATTTTAATATCATGCCGATATTATCCACCTCAAATTGGCCTATTGTCAATCACAGATTATTTTCCCACTTAGTTGCAGAGAAAAATCAGTATCTCCTGCAGTGGAATAAACACATCATCATGCTTATATGATAGCTTTACCTCAATAATTTAGACACTGAATAAAGTATGGATACATACATTACAGGAGCCTATTATGGGGGGCTATTGCTCAGGGGTCTATGCTTAGATCCCAAGCCATAGGTGTCCGTGGGCAAGAAACCCCCAAATTGCTTGCATATGCACGTCTGTATAGAAGAGTGTAGTTGCTTTGGATAAAAGCCACATCGCAATACAATCAATAAAAACCTTTAAAAAGAGGCTTTACAACTTTGCACTGAATCAATGTCGGTGTTTGGTTTCAAAGCCTTTACTGGCTTCTCCCTGTGTGCCGATATCAGCTTTAATGATGGGTCTAAATGCAGCTCACTTTGTTGACTGTCTCTCCTGTCCCAGGTGTTTCTCCAGCGTCGGGGACCAGCAGGACGGTCAGATTCTGTCTCTGGGGTCGGGCTGTGATCACAAGGCGGTGATTGAACACGAGCTGCTGCACGCTCTGGGATTCTACCACGAACAGTCCCGCACCGACCGGGACGACTACGTGGACATCTGGCTGGATCAGGTCACTCCAGGTATGTCTACGAACCTTATGATCCCTCCATTTATTTCTTTTCGCATAATGTAAAATCATTATATGACAATTGTTATTTTAACCCTCTGGCATGACTTTCTGTGTTGGTGGAAAAGAAAAAAATCACAAAATGTTTAGGCAGCTCGGGGGTCCCTGACGATATATATTAATCGCCATAACCAACATTATTTATTTTATTCAGATGTTTAAAAATGATACAAGTTCAATTATACGACATAATGGAGACATGTGAAATGGGACACCCAGATAAGTGAAACGAAGCTTGGGAATAGGGGCCCAGACACTTAACATAAAGTATTTACATTATATTAGGGAGTTCATGTTTTATACAGCCCATATGATAAGTTAAATAATAAAAACATCACGAAAACAAAGTATTTTCCACAATCAAAGAGGTTTCTTTACATACAGTTATATTCTGTATATTCATTTAAAACATGCTAAAAGGGAGGATTTGTCCTGCTAATTGGTGGCACTGTGTCCCCTGCAGCAAAGAGGTCACCCCCACTTCAACCCCTCATTTTGATGAACATACACATGTCTTGGTCAATAATGTAAAAAAGATTAAAATGGCAGGATGACGTGGAAAACTGCAGTTTCTTGCCTGAGAGCTGCAGCTTGCCATAGAGAGGGTTAATAACCAGCAACATGTCTTTATCCCTTTGTGTGGCCTTTCATGTGTCAACATGACATTTCCCACAGGACTTGGACACAACTTCAACAAATACAACGATGACTTCATCACCGATCAGAACACGGCGTACGACTACGAGTCCATCATGCACTACAGACCTTTCTCCTTCAATAAGAACGAATCCATCCCCACCATCACCACCAAAATCCCAGAGTTCTACAACATCATTGGCCAATACCTGGACTTCAGCAAGATGGACACCCTCAGGCTCAACCGGATGTACAACTGCTGTACGTAGATGAGTTTGATTCCTATGTTGATGTGTTTTACGTCAAAGTTAACAATGGACAGAAATTATTCTAGTCTCGGGGAGGTGGGATTTAGTTATTGAGTTATTAAGATAACTGGATACAGCGTCGGAGGCGGGGCCTGTTAATTCCTCTGAAAGCTGCTCAGTGGAGAGCAAAACAAATTGGGCCAATAGAGCATGGCACTTGTGTATTCCTTAAGCCCCGCCTCCAATCTGCTGCCTCACAGAAGGAAAATAACTCTGGATTTCGCTTTTAGCATATTTGACAACTTTTCTAACATGATGATTTGTTGAATAAGAGCCATTCAAGTGTCCGTATTGGGTCGTTAATTTACCTAAAAAAAGGAAAGTCAATGGGCAAACTGTTTTTTTTAAGCATGGAGTGACACGGAAGTTGTAGTAACCGATTGGCTTCAATGCTCGTCTCACTTCCTGGAGGCTTGAATAAAGTATGTGCCCCCCCTTCCCCCCCAGCTGGTACTCTCACCCTGCTGGACCAGTGTTCCTTTGAGTATGCCAGCATCTGTGGAATGATCCAGGCCTCAAACGATGATGCTGACTGGGTCCATACCAAGAGCAGTGTGAGTGAAGAGGATCACACACTCCTGGGGAGATGCAGAGGTCAGTGTCTCTTGAAAATACCAATCATTATTCTCAGTTAAGAAAACATGAAATACATTTGCAAAAGTGAAGTTTTATTGAGGAATGGGAGGGTCCCTTTAAAAATGTATTCCGTTACAATTACACAATACCTGTTAAATGTAATCAGTAACCAAATCTAAGTACCACGATACAAAAGTAAGTTAACCTGATTAGTTTTTGTTGCTTTTGGATGATCAAATGCACTGCTAAATACAAGAACAAAATACATATCAATAAGATGGCTTTCACCTAAGTGTATTATGTAAGTAATGAATAATGGAGCCAGGCCATTAGCTGCCTGTATCCAGATTCATCTAACAAACTCTTTAATGTTTGCCGCAGCGTGAAATGAATGGGTGTAACTTATACTTTTAATATGTCTACAATACTCAAGGCGCATGTCATGTCTGCATATTTTTCTGTAATGCCACAGTAACAGATTCAGTGACAGCCTGTCCACACAGTGAAAGCATTCTTTGAATTAGAGGCCATAATAATGACCTGGAAGATAAACTAAGGTTTCACATGAGACTGGTTTCACCTGCTGTGAGACTCATGGAGTTTTGTAATATGTAAGAGTGGGCTTGGCAATATTTCATTCATCATTTTGAAATGTATTTTATCACTGCAATCATGCCAATAATCCCCATTTTATAAAAAAAAAATCTTATTTTATGTAACTGTAAAGGAACACATGAACCATTTTGTGTATCCTGATCATCCAGTAACATGTAATCCATTACTCCCCCTCCCCAGATGCTGGGTACTTCATGCACTTCAGCACCAGGACTGGGAAGCCTGCAGAGTCGGCTCTGTTGGAGTCCCGCACCCTCTACCCCAAGAGGAAGCTCCAGTGTCTGCAGTTCTTCTACAAGATGACCGGGAGCTCCAAGGACAGGCTGGTGATCTGGGTCAAGAAGGATGATGGCACAGGGGTTGTTCGTAAAATGAAGAAAATACACACCTTTAATGGTATTTGCATGTTTATATCAACACATTTCACAGCAGCATCCTGGAAAAACACAGCTTTGCATCAAGGCAAATAGTAATTTGTCTGTTTTTGATATTCAAATCCAGTTATTTTAACACATCGTAAAACATACTAGTCAAACAGTAACTAAATGCTGAGACAACATTACACACACATAGGCCCAGAGTTAGCGGGATAGTTTTGAAAAATCTATCTCTCTTGCCCAAGGGTTAGATGACACAATTGATAGCACTGTATTCAAATCATGAAGCGACAGCCATGTGGTTAGCATAGCTTTGCATAAAAACTGGAAACAGGTGGGGAGAATAGCCTGGCTGTTTCAAAGTAGGCCAAGGTAACATCACTATCAGATTCAGGGGTGCAGGTTTATGGACATATATATATATATTTATTCTGTTTTGGACAGAGCAGGGCTAGATGTTCCCTTCTACTTCCAATCTTTATGCTAATGCTCTAATTTCATATGAAACGGACATATATGAGTTAATTTTGTTAAACTTTTGGCAATAAAATTAATAGCGTTTTTCCCAGAAGGTCAAACTAGTTATTTGCAGTAAACACTCTTTTCCCTCTGCTCCAGCTGATTCTGACCACACATGGAAGATCGCCCATGTCCCAATGGAGGTGGGGGTCAAATTCCGCTATGCTTTCCAAGCTGTGCGCGGTGAGCCCTCTGCCTCTGCCGGGGGCATCTACATAGACGACATCAGCCTGACGGAGACACGCTGTCCCAACGCCGTGTGGACCATCCGAAACTTCTCCAAGATCATGGAGACGGCCACCAACAACACGTCGATTGACAGCCCTCGTTTCTACAGCCCTGAGGGTTATGGTTACGGCGTCCGTGTGTTTCCTTTGTCCACCTACACAGATTACACAGGGGGCTACACTGGGCTGTACTTCTACCTGGCCAGCGGGGGCAATGATGTGGTGATGCAGTGGCCGGCGGTCAACAGACAGGCCACCTTGGTGGTGATGGACCAAGACCCTGACATTAAGCTACGGATGTCCACTGCACGCAGCCTCACTACGGACATGAGGAAGAGTAAGTGCTCCTTATACACTTCCAGAGGCAATAAAGAGGCCCTATTATGCTTTTGGGCTTTTCCCTTTCCTGTAGTGTGTTATATAGGTTTATGTGCATGTAAGTGGTCTGCAAAGTCTAACATCCCACAGTTCTTCTCCCACACACTCCCTCCTTTCTGAGACGCCTCCATTGTGTCACGACCGAACTCTGAACCCAAATGCACAACTTGTTGACAACAAAGGTTTCAAAAGAAAGTCTTCAAAATATAAACAATGGCAAGGAACTAGAGGCAAAACAATAAGGTTAACCTGTTCTGACTTAACGCTGGTTCTCTAACTCACTAGACAAGACAAACTGGCTCAGGACAAAGGGAGACTAGGACAATATATACTCGAGGTAAGGGGGCACAGGTTGAAACAATCAGGGCGGGGTAGACAATCAACGAAGCGGGTGAAACACGAGGGCTGGAAGCACAGAGATCTGAAACGAGAGGGTTACTTTTCAAAATAAAACAGGAAGGCACGATACAACACAAAGACTGGACAAACACCTATTAAGATAATACAACTTAAAGGTGGGGTATGTAATTTATTTCAGAAACACTTTTTGTTATATTCCATGGAATGCTCTTAACATCCCGATAGCAATGAATATATTAAATGCTTTGACAATAAATACACAAAAAAAAATGTCATCTGTGGAAGCTGTGGCACTGTAAAAAGCACGACCAATCATTTTAGCCGGCCCGGCTAAAATAACTGGATGGCCTACCTACCTGTCAGCCTTCCATCTGTGCACAAACGTATCTCGTGCCCTCATTGGTCATGTGCGTGTTCGTGTGTGTTGGAGGAGGGGCTCTGTAACCCCTAGATTCCACCGGGTCCGTCTGCGCCGCGTTGCGGTTTTGGTCCGGCCTCCTCCGGCGTCATACCCTACCAGGCGCGTTTCAGAAGCATTTCAGAAGCGGAGCGTCTTGCCTGCCGGCTCGCAGTTAAAGTGATTTGGGCATATTTCCTGGACAGGCTACTTTGTACAGACAAAGTTAATAATAACTGTAATATTCCAGTTATAAACGACATGAATCAAAGATGTGTTGCTGTATTTTAGTGGTAAAAAAATGCATTCATCATCATAATTATTCTATATATATAATTTACACAGTGCCTGTAAACCGGAGGAGAACGCTGGCATTTCTCCTCCTACTTGAAAGACTACGGAGGGATAGGGTCTGCAAAATTAGTTTGTGTGTGTGTATATATAGCTCTCAACGTTCCACTTCCTGCCTGCCCGACCTTACGTTACGGCTGCGCCGCGACAAAAATAGGATTCGATCCTAATTTTAGAGGAGCCCTGCGCCGAGCCGCTTCTGGGACGCTTCTGAGCCGTAACGCGCCGTGTGTGGTGGAATAGCACCCATTGACTAGAGTGGCCGCGATCGCCGTGAGCACCGCGGCGCAGACGGACCCGGTGGAATCTAGGGGTAAGGAAGTCTGAAGGAAGAGGCAGATTTGTTCCGGTTGTGTACTTTCAAATTCTAGTGCACTCCAGCTGGTTTCTCCAAAATTACATACCCCACCTTTAACATCTCTTTTGTGACATGACACATTGGACTGAATTATTACTCAACTGACATCACTATGTAACACTCGCACTTCCATTGGCTAGCGCTCAAAAACATCGTGCGTGATAAGCTAAGGGGCGGGACATCTCAAAGGGGTTGACCAATCACAACAGAGCCTGGGGTCTCATCTCAATTTCGCAATGATACATATCATACAAACAATATTTTTACAGAAGTACATCAATAAAATAAATGTGAATTTCTTTGAAAAATGTATTCTTAAAAAATATATTCTGTGAAATGTAGTACTTTTTCCCAGTTATTTTTTTACTTGACAGATCTCAAGAGCTATCCAATACTAAGATCTTGTCTTTTATTGATTATATTGCTATGTTTATATTAGATTATACAACATTCATTTTGAAGGACAGCCTTTTATTAATAAACAACCCTTGTTGTATGATGCCCTGTCAAATTTATAACCATCCAAAGTGCAAACATTGAAATCAATGTCCTTCAAAGAGCCTTCAGAGTTATTAAAAGTGATCCTGAAGGGGAGACATTTTACCCACAACCACAAAAGTCAACCACAGGTAGTGTAGTTAAATCCTCTGACTAACATACAGTATCTTCAAACAAATCCATCCGATAGTTGTTCTGATGCAACCGTTCAACATCCCCTTCCCTAAAATAATCCACCATACCACCACATGACAACAGTACCATTAAAACAGGGTTGGGGTTAAGAATGAAACGCCTACTCACATGGCACCTCTGTCCTTTTGTGTCCTCTAGCATCAGATGGGAAGCTGTTTTGGGACAATCCCTCCAAGGTGGGAACGTATGACCCCTCCTGCGATTGCTACAAAAGTCAGACATGGGGCTGGAGGAACTTTGTCAAGCACTTTGACCTCAAGAGGCGCAATTACCTGAAGAACGATGACCTCATCATCTTCATCGACTTTGAGGGTAAGTGGTCTTCTCTTGTTCAATATTTGTTGTGTATGGTGGGAGGATGCAGGCATGATAAGTCATTATTTTTCCATCCACAGATATAACATCACTGATCAAATCTGAAGTTCCCATTAAACCAGCGGAGGAGGGTCACACAGGATGAACTGGAGGTAGGACATCAGACACAAATAACATCACATGTGTTTGTGAAATTACTTTTTGTTTAATAAAAAAATAGTATTATGCAACATATGCAGGAGGGATGGAAAGAACAACATGACGATGGACAAAGGATGGAAGATACTGCCATGACAAAATCATCATCATCATCATCTTTAGAAAGCTTGAAATTTGAAGATATATTTGGTATCTAATATATATATAAAAGGTGAAATACAGAAGAATAAGCTTTAGAAAATCATTTTGATCACTATATGTGTTCCGCATTGAACTCTTGTCCTAATAAAAGCTATTAAATTAAGCTATCAAAAAACAATCCTGTGGTGTGTTTATTTTGTTTTGCGATGTAAAAATGGTTTCTATGTGAGTTAGAATAAGAGACTATAAAGTTAGAGGAATGTATTGTTCAAGCATAAATCTAAAAAACGTTTACATTTAGTTTTCATTTGTTATTAAAGGATGCTTTACCCTTTTAATTGATTATAGCTTTTAAAGAGGAAGAACACCATAGCTCTGGAGGTAATTAGAGATAAGTAAAGTTGCCCTGCTTAAAATGTTATATTTAATGTAACTGTAAACGTTAGAGCCCTTTTCTGACTTTTTTTTTTTTACAGTGGGATACTTTTTGAAGGCGTTCTTGTCCAACCGCATCATATTTTCTTTAGTAAGAGCAGCATGTCAACGGTTATAAAATAGAGTTCAACAAATTATAAAATAAAAAATAAACATGTACAGTATGTACACCATTTACCTCTGAATTGTAGTGGAGAAGAAGTATAAAGTACAAGTATCTCAAAATTGCACTTAAGTACAGTACTTGAGTAAATGTACTTAGTTACTTTACACCTCTGATTATATTTTGAACTCATGCATAATGCCTGTAAAAATGCTGCTGTGGCAAAAATGTTTTCCAATTGAGGATGAAGAAAGTATATTTCACCTAATCTAAGCTATCACGCCTTGTTGTGGTTGGCTGTTGCAGGGTTGGCAGACTCAGGATGCTTTAAACACATAGATATGACAATTAATAAAAAATTAACTTCTGAATGAAGTCCGGACTCAAAGGGACCCTAAAGGCTTTGCAGACCAGCGTTATTCGAAAATAGGCCAAAGGAGCTACAGTACTGTAGGAGATTACATTTACTTTGTGATTTAATAATGTAACCCGTAGATTCTCTACACAGGTCATCATGGTCCGACAAAATAAATGCTGGCTGCATTATGGAAAAAGTAGGATCCCACTGTCTATGATCAGATCTGTGAATCACAGCCTACAGATTGACCTAATTAAATTATTGTTAGCATATTATATAATGTAAGTGTCCTTAATTATCCTTTTTTTTTAAAAACTCTTTCCCGTCCTAATATTTTAACACCTGAATTACCATACAGTGATCAATAGAGGTTTATTTAATCTTATATTACATAGCAATAATAGCTCTTAAACTGACATATTTCTTTGATCAATGAGACTTTAAGTAACTAAGTAACTACTCCCAGCAACCACAACTGCAGCTGTCATGGCAACCAAGGCCTATTCCGATGGGGTCTGTTTCAGGAGAATGTCTTTGTAAAATACAGATATCCACAGCCACAAAGAGGTCAAACCTGTAAACAACATAACTGCCTGTTTTATTGGATTTAAGATCAGAGTTCATATCAATTTATTGCAAATTCTGTTGCCTTTGTACTGGGTCCATGTTATTATTGCTGTCATAACCTGTGCATGTCAGTTGTATAACAGGTTGTGAGAACACGTGTGAAATTCCTGTTACTTATTATACACTATAACGCTGATCAAAGTCCCCCTCCAGCTGCTGTCTTTATTGGCACTTTAACACTGGAATCAGAGACATACGTTTGTGTCTGCAAAACAATATGGGCTCTGCGGACGGTTTGAGGAAAATTGCTGCACTGATTGGAATATTTGCAGTTTTGAAGGTATGGCATTTTAAAACAATTGAAATGGAATCACGTTGAGAAACAGAAATGAAAGCAAATTTCTCAATCGACATTTAGACACATTTCTTTTTTCTGTGCTAGGTGCAAGCTGTTCCACTTACCGGTTGGTTCCTTCATTTATTATATGCACATAAAACAAGCTTTTCTTTTACTTGTTTCTCTAACAATAAATACATCTTCCAGGTGACAATGCAGATGCTGGTGAACTGAGGGACGACATACTTGAGATCAATAGAGGTATCGTTGTTAAGCCCTGTTGATGCATGTGATTGTATGTCTGTTGCGTGACATTAATATGCATTAAACATGTGTTTTACGAATTCTTAGGGTTAAACCACCTGTTTGAGGGAGACATTGCAGTTGATGTAAGTACTGTATAGTCTGCTTAGTGATGGTGTTTGTAAACACCAGACTAAAAAGCATAATGATAAAAGCTTCAATGTGTCTGGCAGCCCAACAGGAATGCAATCCTCGATCAAACAAGAAGGTGGAAGTTTCCCATCCCCTATATCCTTACGGATTCTTTAGGTACACAAATGGATATATTTCCACCAACAAATTCAATTGAGTAGGTAAATATACGTGTGCTGATTTGGAAATGTCCCTTTTTCTAGATCTGAATGCTAAAGGTGTGATCCTCCAGGCTTTTGAGGAGTACCGTCTGAGGTCCTGTGTGGACTTCAAGCCCTATGAGGGAGAGAGCAGCTATGTCTCCTTCACCAAGCTGGATGGGTGAGCTGCAATGATTCAAGAACTGTTGCACAACTTTATGAGCCATGTTGCCAAGTCATCAAAACCATAGCAGTTGCTAAAATCGGCTACCTTTAGCTTAGCGCTGGTGACGTACAGTCATGTCACTGTGATTAGGATCAATAACATATCTATCTATCTATCTATCTATCTATCTATCTATCTATCTATCTATCTATCTATCTATCTATCTATATATCTATCTATCTATCTATCTATCTATCTATCTATCTATCTATCTATCTAGCCTTAAATCATAAAATGAAGTATCCTGCTGAACAAAAGTATCAGAAAACAAAAGTATCAGAAACAAAAGTATCAGAAATGTGTGTTTGCCACTGATCTTATTTTCTACAATATTCCAGAAATATCCCTTTTGATGGTCAACTACAAGCCATCACTGCACCACTATGTTAAGATCTAGAAAATGTTGATGTGATTAAATGCTATTTAGATCCAATAACTGCTCCTTAGTTTGAATATGTCGTTTGAATTTTCCTTTTTATCAAATCAGATGCTGGTCGTTTGTTGGGGATGATAGAGTAGGCCAGAATGTGTCCATTGGGGCGAGGTGCGACACTAAGGCCATCGTGCAGCACGAGCTCCTCCATGCTCTCGGCTTTTACCATGAGCAGTCTCGCTCAGATAGAGATGACTATGTCAAAATCTGGTGGGACGAAATTGAAGAAGGTGGGTCACAACAATTATTATCTTTGTGTTGTTTAGTGCTGTGACCAGGATTTCGGAAATACGCCATATTTGTCCATCAGAAACCCACCAGTAGTTTTTTGTAACCAAATTAAGACAAAGGGCTGGAGCTGCTAGCATAGCAAATACTTTGTTACCAGCTAACACTAGCTAGCTATCTTGGTAGTAGATCCGTACTAACCAACTAACTGTGATATTAATGGGGATGCTTATTTTTGAAGAAGATCCTTAAAATAATACACGTATACTTACCGAAAAAAAAACAGCTGACTCCCTGGTGTCTTAAGTACAACAGAACACTGAACAACACATTTTTAGGAAGCCAAAATGTTACAATTAACTCTAATTAACTGAAAACACACTGTGAAAGTGAAAAGTTCTAAGAAGCAGAGCATCCAAGAAAGGGAGGAGTTTTAGCATATACATAAGCTATGTGGTAGTGCTGTTTGAAGCAGTTGATATACTGTCTCCTGACTATCTACATGACCTTTCTCCTCACAGGGATGCAGCACAATTTCAACAAGTATGAGGATGACTTCATCACGGATTTGAACACACCATATGATTATGAGTCCATTATGCACTACAGGCCTCTGTCATTCAACAAGAACGAAAGTATCCCCACAATCACCACCAGCATACCGTATTTTAATGAGATCATCGGCCAGCGGCTGGACTTCAGTGCAGTAGACATCACCAGAGTCAACCGCATGTACGACTGTGGTAAGAGTCTCCTTAAATACATCCTAAAGGTTTGAGAAAGGCAACTGGTCAAACATTATTTTTTGTGGCAGGGAAAGAGTCTGTAAGATCCTGGTATGTAAGTACATTATTGATGTAATAGGGTGGGCCATACTATTTTATTTTTGTAAATCGATCGAGAGGGGTGTTCAAATAACGTATTTTGGCGTGTAGAACACAAATCTGAAGACATTTTTCAATTCTGATAAACCTAACCTACATCAATTTGCAGTTGATTATTATCTATTTTTTGATTATTTTGCTATTCTTCTGGAAAAAAGAGACTAAGTTGGGGGGCTTTTATTTTGAAGTCAGGGCTTTTATGTTCCTGTCTGAAGTGAAACTTACTTGTGTATCAGTGTGAACTAGTTGAAATAGCTCAAGTCAAAACAAGGGCAAAATCTACTTCTCATTTGAGTAATCTTGTTGGCACTGGGTGAGAGCTGTTGGTGTCTGAACTGCCAACTGTGAGGGATATCCTGAGGTATGGCATCTACTTGAGGGATCACAGTAAAGACAGGAGCGACCAGCTGGTGGGTGACATCTTCCCTGGTCTGATTGGTCAGTGGAGCAAAGTGAATGCTCTTTTCAAGCCACCTGTTATAAATGAAAAGGTGACCATCATGTCTCAAGGAGGTCTGGAATCAGGCAGTGAAGTGTTCCCTTGGGAAGGGCAAACTTGATGCCAAAGAGAGGTTCAGTGTCAAGTTAGACCAATTATTTGATATTTTGACTTGCAAGTGTCAGATTACCAGTTGTGAGGGCGGAGGCTGTGAGGGCTGCGTGATCCAAACCCACATTAAGTGTTCCTGCAGCAGAGAGAAAATGATTCCTTTAAAAGATCTTGCATACATCAAGGGACAGAAAGAGAAGGTGTGAAGTAAAGGACCCCACCAAATGGGGGCCCCTGATCTGCAGGAGCACAAGATACAGGTGGGGACATTGGAAAACATGTCTGAGGAAAGGAGAAGGAGCAAGGAGGGAAATGCTGCAGCAGCAGACAAGGCAGCCAGGAAGGATGTTAAGAGATTTTTGGCAGATGGTGATGAGGATCTGGAATTGGAGAGTGGTGCTGAAGATGAGTTTGTCCCTGAAGTTGAGCTCTTCCCTGAAACTGAACCTGAGCCTGCAGCTTCAACAAAAGGACAGAAAAAC